CCAGACAAAGTATTAGAACCATTCTGAAGAAGCTTTTGAGAGAACTGTTTTGAGAGAAACTGTGTCCTTAACTGGAGAATCTGGATCTTGTGCTCATACTCCAAACTCTAAAGTAACCTTTACATTTTTAAGCTGCTATGCAGCTTATTTAGTTGACACATTGAGTTTTCCAATATTTAATACTCAATTTTACGAGAATTTTTGAAAACATTAGACCCAAGGTAAAAAGTTATTTTCCACTGAGGAGTTGGGATAGGAAGAGAATTTCTCAACAATGCTACTCAATGTTACTGACAAAAAGCTTCCCCACACCCTCCTTCTGTAGAAAATGTTTAGATTATAGAAAATAGTATGAATGCAAATATGGTGTTCAAATGATAGCATAGTTTCAGCAAAACTATTTCCAAGGAAAGCACGCTATTAATCTCAGCTATCAGATACACAGAAGACATATTTAGGTTATATATACACCAAATTCTCTGGCTGTTATTATGTAGTGGTTACACTGCAAGTGCCAGAAGTCACCAGCAATGATGAGGAGTGTATGGCACTGGAGCTATTTAAGCAACTAAGATAAATACACTCATTGTAATAGGTTACTGTTCACACACACAATATGCATTAGCTTTTGACCTGATGAATGTGGAGTTTAAAATAGTTAAGACAGAAAGCATAAAGGAGAAGATGTATTATTATCACACAGCAAAATGATGCTTATTCAGTTCCAGGGCCCTGACAAGCACAGGAGACAAATCTGTGTTACCTGAATTCATTAGTCCTTTTACTTATTATATTTCTCTAAACATATGATTACATTAAATTACTCCACTTTTCTCTGACTCCTTGTCACGATGAGCTATCATGCCCTTGTCACACATGATGCAGTTGGCAAGGATACAATCCTTTTTCCTTAAAGCCCATTTTCCTTTCTGTCCTCCATTCCCCACTCTGGCTTTTACACAGAAAAAAAATCAACTACTAGAAGTAACCAGTTTGCATGAAAACAGCTAGTGGGAAAGAATTCTTGATATGACAGAATTATTTTTTTTTCAACATCAAGAGTGAATAATAAGTTGTTTCAATTACCTTAGCACTATAAAATATTCCTGTGTATTTAAAGCCTCTAAATCTGAAGTATATAAGCTTGACCATTACTTAAAGATGGAGAATCCAAAACATTAAGAGCATTTCATGGCACATATCTTATCAGCCATGTAACTCCAGAAATGTCCACGATATTAAACATGATAACAGTAAAAGCTCTAGTCTGTACACAGATCAAATTCTTGTGGATAGAAATTTTTTTTTTCTGTGTATATTCCACTAAATAACTTTGGTTGTGTCATTTGGGAAGCAAGGAGCAGTTCCTGCACTGTTGCTAAAATGGTACCATGGCAACAACAAGAATTCTTTATTCACAGGTTATCTTAGAATTTCCCTTAAATTACCTTGAGGAGCAAGGACTGAAAACCAAAGCCATATATTCTCATGTTTTCATCCTCTTTTTACCAATATTCTTTATTTGTTCTATCTGGTACATACTGATTTCCCTTCAACTTGCATTTTCACTTGCATTCCAACAGCTGCCCAACTTGAAGTAAACAACAGTGACATCTCCAAACTGAGGTTATGGACATCTAAATGGCTGCACCTCATAAAGATACACACTGCACCCCATCCTCTCTTTGAAACTAAATCCAATTCCTATTCCAGGGAAACTTCTTCAGCGGAAGGACAGTGCACCACTTCTGTCGGATATTTAACATCCTGTAACTAATAGAAACCCTCTTGTCAGTAGCTGAGAGGGAAGACATTCCTGTATGGTCTGTGACTGCCAGACAATGTTCTTTTTGTGTTTTTTAGTGCATCTCTTATTTTGATTTGTAACTGTACTGAAGGATATTTTGTTAATCACTTTTCATTTATGCTCTGTATTATAAGCAATATCAGCCACAGCTTTTTAAAAGGACTGTTTTCCATGCATTTATTAGTCATGCATAACAGCACACAACAAAACCATTCTACCTACACTCATCACAGGTGTTACCTGGGATGGGGTAGCAATAATTTTACACCTTGTTTCAGTTACTCCAACACATTCTTTAAGCTGAAATATTCTTCTTTCAGTTTACAATTTTATCAGTGCCATTTTACTGAAACTTGATTGATACACACTGTGAATGATTCAGTTGTAAACAGCTGTGGCTCCTATATTTAAAAATTCTTGATGACAGAACTCCTCAGGAGTTTGATGGATCTTGCCAACTAATTATTAAAATAAATAAATAAATAGTGCATTAGTAAATGTACATACTGCCATTAACTATACTGTAAAAAAAATCACAATAAGAGATGTGTTCACAAAATAAGTGTTTTCTTTACGAATTATTCTATTTCCTTTTTCTTCCTTTAATTTTGAATGAATTGTTTAACTACTTCTTTAGACTACAGTAACCTGTAAGGCAGATAATTCCTGGAATATTTCTTTTAATCATTCCCAGAATGCTTCTTTTTTAGATTCCTACTTTTCATGGAACAAAGTAATGGCAAATATTCTGTAATATATATGTTTATATATATATTTCTCAGTTTATCTTTGATTCATGGATCAACAGAAGAGTTATTTAAGATAGTTTGTCCTTAAATAAGAGCTATCTGTCACAGACCTGTCTAGGCTCATATTTAACCATATTTATTCCTTATATAGATAATGTCAGGGCTTGATTTTCCAGCACTCCTAATAATCTTAAAGATAACTCTCAAATTTACTTGCTATCTTTACTGTGATGACCTTGAATAACACAAATGGTTCTACACATTTTCTGGATTGCAAACTTTTCCCTGCTAGACACCAGTGTGCAGTTTGTAACCATCACCTTGAGTATTTATTTTTAAATACACAGTTCTTGGAGTTTTGTGCTGCTTCTGGACTTGTTTAGAAAAAAAATTTGTATTAATATCACAACTTTATGTAAGTTACTTTATGTAAGTGTACCTAAACATAAGTATCAGACAAACAAATGTCCAAAGAACAAGTCAAATTCAATGTCAATAAAGTATCTGAACTGTACCTTTTTAAATTCTGCTTGCAAACAGTGTGAGGATTACTAGCAGCCTCAATCCACTTTTATGACATTAATTTACCTTAAGAGATGACTGATTGGGTGAAATTGCACCTAATGATATCTGCAGTACTTACTGAGTGCCACTCATCAGATATCCCAGTTCATACCAGTTGTACGTACTGCTGATTAAAGATAAAACTAAAATTGTATCTTATAGGAAGCTGAATCACACTGTGGACTAACACACACCATAATGCAAAATTTATTGTAATTCATGGAGAAGTTCTCTGGATTTTATTTCCTTCAGAGCAATTTCAGGAGCAGTTCCACAATAGGCTCCAGTTGCTCTCAGAGTACCAAAAACTACTGTTGGACCTGCTGCTCCCCCCTGCACTGACAATCCTGACCACAAAACTGCACAGAAACATCCTACTCAAACCTGTTCTGAAAGGAAAAATTGTTCCTGAATTCCAGAGGTGTCTTGGGAAGGGTGTGGGGAGCCATTTGGGGGTTTTGGTGGTGTTTTCTTGCTCTGACTGGGCTGCTGCTCCCTTGCAATTGCCAGTATAAGTAGGGAGAAGGAATATGGGGTCAGAGGTGAGGAAATCAAAGCTGCCATTCTGGCTGCAGCACAGACTCACAATGGTCTATGCTGACCTTGAAATTGCACCCAAGATATCTCTGATAAGATATTCATGCGTTCTTTTCCATATCCATTTGTGTAGCTTTTCCTTTTAATTAATTTTTGGATGTGATAGATTGTGCTTTCAAGAGGTATCATGCTACCATGATACCTCTTGAAGTTTTAGAAGCTTTAGGGAAAAAAAAAAAATGAACAAAAATATGAACTTTGAAAGTTGGGCACAGAATAATAAACATAAGAAAGGATGTTCCCACACTTTCTTGGTGTTTCAAACAAGCTGTTTTCCACAGGCAAAGAAAGGTCATGATATTCTGACCTCAATGGTTTTTCATCTATTTTCTCATATTCCAGAAGTTTGTGTTCTAACCATTTATTTTCTCCTTATTAGAAAATATTACATATTTGGTACAAACAGCAATCTATCCAACACTAGGGTGCACTCACCTCACCTTGTAACACTAAGGGTCAGAAAGCTACTTCTAGATGATTGGAGAATGAATTTTTATCTTCTTTCTGCCTACCTGAAAGTAGGGATTTAAAGCCAAATCTGTCACAACTCAATCATTCCAGAATATTCTGCAATAGAGCTCCTTATTCCATCTGTTGTGGGAATTCAGAGTGGCTACATCTGCTCTACTTTGTACAAAGCACTTCATTTGGAACAGAAATGAACAGTACTCCCTGAATCTGTGTGCTGACTTCAGAGCAATTAGACAGCACCTAAAGGGAGGTATTTGCCTGGGATCCCAGATCTCCACTGTCAAGTTCTGTTACTGGGAAATACTGTTAATGGGTGACATCCACAAACAAGGAGCTACTGGATCTCTTGCCTGGCAAGGATGTCTTCTCTGCCAGAAGAACATTCATAATCCCAGCCAAGAAATTTAAACTGAAAGTGTCTTTAAGCTCTGTTCTCTTTTTTTAATCAAGTTTCACCCAATAGTTAGGAAAAAATCAATAGTGCTACATCTCTATACTTGTTGATCCCCTTACAAACTGATGCATCAGTCTGTTATTACCAAGTGTAAGTGCCTCTTTCTGCAAAGGGTGAACTTCATAATCCATTTTGCACATAAAACCAATCTCCAGACTGAAAAATCCCCAACAAAATACACCAAGAATCCTCACATCTGTGTGTGCACCGAGTGCATCCTGAAGGCACTATGCTAAGCAGCAAAAATAATTTTTGGTAACTGTTTAGACCATCAAACCAAGCAAGTACAACAATTCCAAACATCTTTTCCTTCTCAATTCTGCACTTTAGATTAAAAAAGACATCTGTTACTACTTACCAGTCTTCTGCTCTCTTCAAGACCGGTGACTATTCACTCATTCAGTAACTCTAAAAAAGAAGAAAGCAGAAATGCTTATTTTAGGTGCCACTGTCAGGTTTAAATTGATGTAAGTATCCCAAATTCAGCACTTTTCACAAGCATTTAGAGATGGCATAGTAGAAAAAAAATGTTGAAAAATATTCTACAACTTGCTAAAAGTTTTCCCATAACCAAAATCACTGCAATAGACTTGAACTTGTCTCTGTGAGAAAATTGTTCTCCCATTCTCTTTACTGTCTCTCCAGTCCTTAAGCACAGATGGACTTGTGTGTCTTTCCTTATGGAAAGTGCAGGGATGCCCCACAAATTACTGCAGTCTACACGTTTTACTCCTCCTAATAACAGAAATTAGAGTTCAAGGAATTCAAAAACCAAAGGATCATGACCGTACCTATTCAAAATACTCTTATGTCAGTTATTTTTCTTTGGTGTTTCCTTCACCAGTATAGAAGATGCAGCTCCTGTCTAACTCAGAGTCTTTGACAGTTACAATCAAAAGAAGTCAATTTGAAGATTAAATTAAAAAAAACCCGGGGGGGGGGGGGGAAGTGTTTACATAACTTTATAGAGGAGTCCAAAATATTTTTTCATAGTTTATGCCAAAATGTTAAACATACATATATATTTTTATATTTATTTTAGAAGCCATTATTTTATAAATTTTTTTCATCATGCAATTTCATCACGGAATTTAAAGTTCATTAACAGAAGCTTCATACACAGCTTAATTTATCTGGGATCTAGACTGCACTGAGAGCTGTCTATTCCAGCTATGATGAGGGAATGTTTTGGGTTACTTGTTAACCTCAGTGGTGCCCACAAATGGAGATCTGACAAGAACTGCTTTCAGCGACAAGCAGGCTGGCAAAGCTACTTCTATTTCCTACAGAAATGTCAAATAGCAACAACAAAGAGAAGCACTTAAAGAGTAACACGAATTTGTATACAATACTCTGTTCTGAGGCAATTAAGAGTTTCATTTACAGCAGCTTGTTACCAAAGTAGTGCCAGCAGTGTTTATTAATTAAAGGTGTTTTTTCATCCTTAGCTCCTTTGTGAAGAAAGTGAGAATTAGCCTACTGTTTCTGGGGAATTACAGTTTTCTAATCATTTAAAAAACGAGGGTGACTAGTTCTGCCACCTATTTGCCCTGCAAACATTCTGCCTCTTGCACACGCTCTCTTTCAGACTGCCTATACATTACTTTAAATATTGCTGTACAGATCCTGGGTTATTTTGTACATCAACCAAAATCTGGGTTGGTGTTCTTTTAAAGAAACTCTACTCTTGCCTTTGAGAAGAACATGTTGTTTCCTTCCCCTAAAGAAGCTCAGAACATCAAGGAAAATAACATCAAGTGATAGTGGGTTCAAACGTATGTCTAATCTTTACAACCCTTCAGTAGTTACATTAAAAAAGTGAGGCATAATTTATTTCTGATGAAACAGAGTTGCTCAGCTTTCTGCTAATAGGATCCTCAGGGCAAAAGGGGTAGGGAAAGCTCTGATAAAAGAAGAGAGCTTCATTTTACTGTTTTTTTTTTTCTAGTCTGGAAACAATAAATTAATAATAGTGTTTACTCTGATTATCGTTGATTTAGGATAAATTGTTCTCATTTAGCAAATGGGGAAATGAAATTCAGTGCCCAAGGGACTGAGAATATAAATCTATGCCAAAGGCTACAATCGAAGACACATTTACAGACCCATTCTGAATTCCTGGATTCATTCCAACCATTGCTGATAGTAGGGAGGCTGATATTCCAGTACCATTTACCAGTTTAATGATGCAAGTTGCCACTCCTTTCTCCTCCCCTCTCTTTGCTTCCCCTTCTTCTCTCTTCATGTCCCTCAGGAAAATTTTTTGTTTTTGTTTAAATCCTTGAAGGGTCACTATTTTATAAGTTTTTTTCTTTTGGAAAAGCCAGTACAATTCTTTCTCAGAGGTACACACCTATGTTTTGGTACTGCTCATCCAAAATTATTCTTCAGCTAGCCAATTCTTATTCAATGCAGGAATTGAATAGGGAAATGTAAGAACTTTGAAAGGGTATAATGTCCTATTTAAAAAGAACCCATAAGTACTTCTCAGAAAAACTATTGTGAAAGCAACAGGAACATCATTATTCAGCGAAGAAATAGCTAGTATACTAAGGATACTATTACATGTATTTTCCTTTCTTTAAATGCTGTAGTATCATCATACTTCCCATACCTGAAGACAACAAAAGACAATACATAGCACAGCACTGAAGCTGATGGTACACAGCAAAAGCTTCAGGCTAGTACTACATCTGCTCCTATGAAAAGTATCACTGTTTATTACCACTCATTAAAATTTAATTTTATAGAGCATCTTGAAAAGTTCATTTTTAAAATGGAAGTATTATAGCTCATGTTACTGACTAGTTAACCACTTTGAGAACACAAGACTTCTCAGACTTGTTGCTTTCAGGTACTAAAGAGAAAGCATAAACCTGATTAATTCAGCTTTTTTAATAAAAAGTAGTTTATTCTTTTCCTGTTTAACTAGCACAGTCATCTACTTTGTTTTGATTTCTCCTGATAAGTACCTTGATCTTGAAAATGACATTGTGTTACTACACTGATGTTTGACTATGTGTTCATGGCTTCACATTTCATTTACTGTGTTCTGAGACGGCATCATGAACCTTAATGTTTTAGTTACTTTTATCATAGGTACTACATTTTACCACAGTATGTAGAAGTGACAAACTACATCTGCAAATATCAAACCAAAGATTAGTTCAGGAAAACAAAATACGTATACCTAGATTAGCCTTTGAAGTGTTCAGCAGAATATCCCAATAGCATATTCATTATTTGAATCTTCATATTCAGTGCAATTTGATGATGCTCAGAAATCCATTCTGATGAGTGTTGGTGCCAAAATGGGCTTAGCACACAATTATTTACTAGCATGCAGGGTATTTTGCTGCTTCCTGCATAAGCTGTCAGTGCAACTTAGAGGTGATCCGTTTCTTTCAAGTGAAATTGAATTACAAGTGAATAGAAGATCAGTTTTAACCCTTAAAAATGGGAATTTAAACCTGAAATTCAATTGATTTACTTCTAGTTTAAAGAAACATTTGTGTCTTTAAGTTGTTCCAAGAGGTCCTCATTGGCACGAAGGCTGTGCTGAATATTTGAACGCTGTCAATGGTTTCTGGTGACCCAAATTACGGGTTTCAAGTGACCAAATAATGACACAGGGGGATAAGTTTGTTATACTTCTCAGTGGCTATGGTTTTATTCATAACATTGCTGACCATCTCTTTGGAAGGATCTTTCTTTCCAGACTTGTATGCAACAAAATGATGCAACTGCATGCAACGACAAGATTCTTCTCATCCACACTATTAACTCAGGTGAAAGAGGGAAGGTTGTTACCTAAATTAAACAAATACTTGTACTGGGTAATGGCAGCCAGGAAACACTTTGGTTTTACAATGGGAAAAAGGGAAAACACCAGAGCAAGTAGGACATGCCAGTGTCACAGAACAACCCCAAAGATCTGTAAAATCTAACCCACGCCTTCTATTTATTGTCATCCCACTTGTTAACACTGCCATAGGAATGTTCTTTTAAATATTTAGAAATCAGTTTCTTAAAATTGCCAGAAGAATTCCCAAATATGCAAGTAAAAGTTTACTCTTCAGTCTTACTGAGCAGCACGTCGTATCAGGTAAATTGAGGATGACTTTCTAAAACTGAGTAAATGGTTTAAGATGTGACTTCATCACCTTCTTAGCCTCACCACAATTTACATTTCAGAGGGAAATGATAATGTTACAAAGATTAAAAGAAAAATAAATAAAACTGGAAACATACAAGCCCTACTAGTAAATGAAAGCTTCTTTATAGGATACTTAAGTCAGACATTTAGAAGCAAATGTAATAATAAATAATCACCACACATGGAAACTAAGGAATATCAAGATTGCAAGGTATAATATTCATCTTCTCTTTAATATGATTAACATATTTACAACACACTGATTAAACACATCTCAAAGCAGAGAGACATCTGTAACAGATGTATGTTCCAACTTTGATCTACCAGTCTTGAAAACACTTCCTTAGGTCTCATCTCCGTGCATTTTTTATTTTCAAGTTTTCTCAGAGTTTTAAGCACATACTTTTGTGTCACTCATTCTTGAGGCTTGGGCAGGTCTTAAAATCTTGTGCAGGTCTAAATCCAGCAGAAATGAAGGATTTGTCTATCTGAGACTTACTGGAGGATCAATGAAATATTTACCTTCCACATAGGCTTCAATCAGAGCTCCACACAAAATGCTTTAGCAGTCAACTGTTTTTAATGCACAGCCAGAGAACATCCTGAGAATAACCCAGCCCAGTTAGCAGGTGGCACACAGACACAGGGCATGGAATGCCTGGACTAAATAGTTTGTTTAGACTGAGCAGATTCAAACTCCAAATATCAAACTGCTCCCAGAGAATGAACTGAAAGGTGATGGTGAACACCTTCAACCCTTGAAATGAAAGGTATTCCAGACTGCTGGAGGTAATGTAAGACTCAGTAAGACATGTGCTTTCCCTTCCACTCCTTGGACTGCTTTGACATCTCCTCCTGAAATTATAATGGACTTGTTTCCAGAGGGGAACAATGGAGGCAGGCATGGCAAATGTAGCCACATTAAATAGCATTTGTAGTTTGCCTATTGTGATATCATCTTGTGAGTAAAGTTTAAAACCTACGAGAAAACCTGGTCTAATAAGAAATCCATTTCAACAGAAACACCAGGTTACATTAAAAACAAAGGATTTGTTTCTTCTTTTAATACCTTTTTGAGACTGCAGGCTTTGGCTAAACTGAAGAGGAATATCTAAGCACTTATACCTTTAGCTATCCAATTAACATTCTGATCTGCACTAGAAAAAGAGAAAACTTTAAAAAATCATGGTAAGTTACTACACAAACATTTTCCAGTATAGCTGGTTGAATTTTGTCATTCTGGTAACAAGCA